AATAACTCATTACGCGGCGCATTAAGGACAATGTCTGGGCGAGTGTGAGTGTGCAGGAAGGACCCAGGACTCGTGCTATGAGAGGGTTGATTTTTCAGCTTCGGACTGGATCTGACTTTGACTTCCTTTACCGCTTTTTTGCTCCTCTCTCCGGGGGCGTTTGCCTGCACATGTTTATTGTTGCTGCCAATGTTGCTGCCGTGCTGTTGTTATTGCTGTTGTATTGAGAACGCCTCCGGCGATGGTTGTTGCTGTTATTGGCATCGCCTAGTGCGTGCTCCGCTTGAATCACGCAAATTTCATTATTATTATTATTTTTTTTTTAATGATTTGAGTGGAAAATGTATGGCGAATGAATGAAACGGCTTATGAAAGCCAGTTGGCCGTAGTCCACTGACCGGATTGCAAGTGCCCATTGTTCTTGGTCCTTCAGTGGGCGATGGGAAATAGAGGCTTTTTGTTCACCAAAAGCCCTTTCGCCTTAAATCTTTGTATTTGACAAGATATCAATACATAATCTCTTGAAATTAAATGATAACTAATTAAGTTAGCCTTCAAAGATATTATCTTTTGTTCATTATTCAAAGTAAGCTTAATATAAGCAAATAATAATGTATAATTGTAAATATAAGTCTTAGTCATTCCTAGATAATTTCGTTCATTAAGGGCACACCCAGCTGTAATCCCTCCTTGGAAACTTTACGACGCCGGCAACTTAAAGTCCCCTTCCCCCTTCCACCCTAACCCTTGGCCTTACCCCAATATATCAGACGGTGTATTTCATGTGTAATCGTGTGTAATTTTTAAGAAAATTGCACGTTCTGGCTTACACCCCCGATTGGAAAAGCAGCAACAACCCCAAAACAATGCAGCCCGGCAAGAACAACAACGGCAACTTGCAAAACTTTTTATGCTCGCCTGTGTGTGTGCGTAAATAAATGTTGCATAAATAAGTTCAACTCAATGACTTAATGCCGGCGCATTATTGATTATTTTTGCCAGGGTAAAAGTTGGCTAAAGCAGCCGAAAAGAGCCAGAGGTACCGGCCCGAAAGTCCTCCTTCCAACCTCCATTCACTTCCTCAAAGGCCGAGGCACTCGAGTTTGTCGTTTGCTATTTAATATGCATTTTGCGCTAATTACAAATCAAAAGAAAAATTTAATAGCCCCAGAGTTGGCCATAAAAATGAAGTTGTCCGCGGGCAGAGGGGATGGGGGAGGTGGAGGGGCACTCCAAGGGGGATCGATGTCCGCTGGCCCGGACTCCAGTGCCCGGTTTCTAATCAAAAATTGCTTTGTGCCACATTTGGCTCCTAACTCTAAATGATGGCAAGTGTGCTACAATTTAGTTTGACTATTAATTACAGCAAGTTGCTGCAGTGCAGCAGCAACATGTTCTACATGTTTGCCAAGCCGGGGCGAAATTATTGATGATTTTATTAATTTGAATATTGCCTACGAATTGCTGTCGAAGACAAAACGCTCGCCAAACGACTATATATGCGATCCGGAGCGATGTGATCCAGCGGAGAGGCAACTTTGAATGATAAATTTTTTCGTTCAGTTCGCTTCTTAACCGGCGATAGAAAGTTGCATGGAAATTGCAATTTATAGCCTGGCAGCAGCAACATGTGGCAGGCAGCAAGAAAATGAGTATAATTAGACCGGTTTGTAATGCGTTTGCAAGTCGATAGGAGCGTTGCGGATGGCATGTCGCTGGCGTGCATTGAAAATGAAGCGAGCTTGATTTGAATTATAGTTGCCAGCATGGCGATAATTAATCGTGCTATTTAGTGTGCTACATGAAATTCTACTAGTTTGCTGGTTATTGATTAGATTTCGAGGCAAGCGGCGATCGCAGGAAGCGACAAAATGTTGCCGTTGTTGCATGTGCTGCTGCCGCTGTTGCTGTTGCTGCTGCTGCTGCCTCCGTGTAATTTGGCCAGACTTTAATATGCGCAAATTGTACTTAATTTGGCTGCACATTTTGTCGCTACAATTTGCTTTCACAACATGTTGCACCAACTTGCAACTAGAAACTAGCAGCGCTCCCTTAGATTTCAACTCCACAGGCTTTTGGCATTTGCTGTTGACGCATACTTGAAATTATTATGTATGTTGCCGATGTGCACTCTGTTTTTGCTGCTGCTCTTGATATTATGCATTGTTTTTGCTTCTTATGCATATGCCAGATGCCGGAGAAGGGTTGGTGATGGCCAGACATTTGCATGCAACGTACGAAATTAATTATTACGCCCTCTCACCACCCAAAAAAGCCAGCCTTTTCCTGGCCAAAATCTACAACACGAAGCTTTGCTCAGGCTCGGACTCGAGCTCAGACTCAGGCATTGGCATTGCATGTCCTGCACACTCCAACTTTCAAGGCACAGTCCTGGCATTCCGGTCCCCCCGTTCCAGATCCTGATCCTGTTCCCCTTGCTGGTTTCCCACCCCCCTCCCCCTGTCCTTTTGGCTCATTACGAGGATGGCTGTGTGGCCGGAAAAGTGCGTTCGTTGACTGCTGCCGTCTGTCCAACGTCGACACAAACAATAAGCACTTGGAAAAACAATTTAATTACACTTTTTATTTAATATCAATTTTAAATTCGTACACAAATTCGTACTTTTTAAATACATTCTCTCTGAAAATAATTTTTACATATTTTAGAAAGCTTGTGTAAAATGAAATAAGGAGCACAAAAATTAAGCGTACCTTAAAATTCATGTATTTATGCATTAACATTTTTTCTACAGAAGGACGTAATATTTCTAATTAACATCAACATTCAAATTAGAATATTAAAATATATATATATTTCTTAAATGTTCGATATTAGATTTAATCAATCATACAAATTTATGAAAATTCAAAGCATAAATTTAAAACAATAAAGGTTGAAAGTTTTGGCCAGTGTATTAGGAACAGCAAACTAAGGGTCTGAATCCGAGCTGCAGAAGTTCGAGTCCGACTGCGACTCGAGTTCCGAGCTCCGAGTTCCGAGTGCAGTTGCTTGCATTATTACAACTGCAGACCCACACACATGGCAGGTCCTGCGGGGGCGGGGGTTTTGGGCTGCAGAGGAGTGGAAGGGGGGAGCTGTATGCATTATGCATTAAAATCAACGCCCGTTTTGTGTAGAGCTGCAGACAATGCAACGAAGGACCTTTTCTTCCACTCCTCGAGCCCGAAATGTTGGCTCCTGTTTTTTGGGGCCAAATGTCAAGGCATAGGCATTGATGTTTCCCTTGTGGGCTGGAGTTAGGTAAGCTCTTTAGTCAAATTGTTGCCTAAATTTAGACGCCTTTGGGCGAGGCTTATTCCCGGAGTTTGCTACGGCAGACTGAGCCCATAAGAAATGACATTTAGTGGAATCTATTTCAGATGAGTGACGATTACGAGAGTGCTTTGCCTGTGTGCCTTGTCTCAAAGTGCATGCCTAAACCTCTCGAAAACTCTCCTTCTTATTATCCTTATCTTCACAGATAACTTTCCGAGCTTCCCCCTGCACTCAGACAACATTTTCGGTCATTTTCCCCTCTCACTCCCTTCATCCCATTCTTAATATTTCCTATCGTACATACTTTCCTTCTTCTTGTATGCAGGAAAAACTTTCTTGCCAGACACGTTCGCCACATTCTCCCCCCGCACACTTTTTGGTCAGTTGTCCCTCTTCGGGTATAAATTATAATGCAGAGTAGGTGTAAAATTTTCGATTACGACTGTGCAGCCCACCCAACTCCTCCAATCCCAATCCACCGGACTTGCATCGCTCCTGTGCAGGAACCACCCGTATGCTTCGGCCTTTGTGTCCATCATGCCGGATTACACAATGAAAAAAGCAGCGCACTTTTGAATTAAAATATATCAAATATATACTTAATTCCAGTTGAATTTTAATGCCCGTTGATTTGGGTAAGAAATGGTTATCAAAATTTTAAAATCATATTAAATGTTGCTTACTTACAATTATAATTATAATAGCTTAAATATGATTAAATTTATGTATTTCATTTGACCTCAGCATGGAGTTTTTCTTTCTGTGCAGTGTTCTCCTCACAATTCCGGCGGTAAAAGTCGTTCGTTGTCCGGTGCAGAACGTCGTGGCTTGGCAAGGACATGGCCTCAGAATCGGACACCGACTCGAACGCCGGCTACGTTTTGCATTTGCGAAATTATGTGGCGTGTGTGGGTTCTTCCTTCCGCCCCTTTGGATCCCCCCTGCGATCCCCAGCCCTCTTATTGTTGTTTGTGCCTTGTTGCCGTGGTCAACCGACGGGCAACAGGGATAATTAATGAAATTAATGCGCCTGGGTATGGGTTTTAAGTGCACAAAATATTTTCGATAAATGTAAATTCTAAATTATTATGCCCCCAGCGGCCAGGAGTAGTAGAAGGTGTTCCAGGTGAGGGGTTTGCAGCCAGACGACATTTGATATTTGGGCGGTAAAAAGGAATAATGTTGTGCTGATATCTGATAATTGCAAGCTTTGCATTCTGTGTATCTCTCTCTTATTCTTAATGGGGTTGTGAAATTTTGAAATTATCTACAAAGTTTTTGTTGTGTTATGTTGCACATAAACGATTTTGTACATGTTTTAATAAAAATCAGGGAATTCAAGTTTACTGCATTAAAAATAGGGTGCATCAAAATAAAACATTCAGCATACCTGTACAAATTGTATCAATTTTTCTTCATATGCTTAGGAAAATTAAAAAAATTTCAAAAAGTACAATAGTAAGATTTCAAAAAAAATAATTATTGTTATAAAACGTATTATTAATATGTATTTACACCTTCGCAAACATTATCTATTTTTATCTTTTCGAATTAAAAGATGACTTATAAAAGCTTAAGAAAAGAATGCGAATGTTGTTAAAGTTAAAACCTTTGCATTTTCATCTTTTATATATTTATATTATTCCTCAAGTGCCTCCCATTATGGGCTTAATATTTAATGCATCATGACGTACTCAAGCCGCTTTTGTACTGTCCATTGCAGGAGTGGCCCAGGATGCGAGCGGGTCAGTGACACGTGACATGGCCGAGGGCTGCGAGGACTCTGCCGGTGCCGCTGAATCCACGACGTCACAGTCACAGTACACAACGCTAGACAAGATGCTCGGCACGGTGCTGCCATGTGAGGCGGCCATTGGGGCGACACCCGGCGGCAGCAGCAGCAGCAACAGCAGCAGCAACATCGGCGGCAACACCGGCAACACCAGCAGCAACAACGGCAGCAATATTGTGAAGCGGGAGTTCTGCGATGGTAGCCTGATGCCCGGTGCCGGGGCCAGTGTTAATAACAATAATGCCAACACCACCAACAACAACAACAATAACAACAACAACAGTAGTAGCAACAACAATAACAACAATACCAAAATGCAGGCATTGATATGCAACAAAGGGGGCAGCACCAACAACAGCAGCAGCTCCTCGTCCTCATCGTCGTCCTGCTCCTCATCCTCGTCATCCTCCAGCTCGGCCACCAGCACCCTGACCAGCTGCACCACCGCCGCCGTGGTGCCCTCCAACTGCTCCACCAATGCCAACAAATCGCCGGTTTCGCCCTACTCCCAGAGCCTCGGAATGGCCATCGGGATCGGGGCGGGAGCGGGCAGCAGTCCGCTCCGGGAGGCCAGTCCGCTCCCGAGCAGCCGCTCGCCCCTGAACGCCATCGCCACCGCCGCCATTGCCGCCAAGTCTCCGTGCAGCGGAGCGGCGCCCGCTTCGCCGCCGTCGGCCTCCTCCAACAGCTCGTCCCATGTCCTGGCGCTCAACATCAAAACCGAGTCGGTGAGTCGAACAGAATCGCTGAATTCATGCATTACCCCTTTCAAACTGAGCAACTGCCGCCTTAGCGGTCCAAATAATGGCAAAACATCAGTGTCAAAAAAAAAAATTAATAGTTTTCAAAGACAAGCGAATATTAAAGATTTTTTTAAAAACATATTTATATTAATTAGTTACTCACTCAGTGCCCTTATATTTAATCCCGCTTAATCATACTTACAAAGTCACCTTATCAATGAATTAGTCATTACTAAAACATGATATTTCGATAGGGTTTATATTTTTGAAGATTACTTTTAACTTTTCAAAAACTAACAAAAATAGTAATAACTATTCCCAATCAATAAAAAGTTTATTAGCTTACGCAGTTAGGCCTTCGATTTTGCTCAATGCAGGGATATCTAATTCGAGTTATATAATTCTATAGACTACTTACTCAATTAAATATTTAAATTAAGCTCCAGATATAAATAACCTCATGAATTAAGAGCATTTTAATTTTGTATAAGAAATATATAAATTTATTAAATATTCAAGATAGCCTCACACATAAAGAAGTCTTTCTGCAGAGATACATTATTGTGAACGCAAAATTAAGAAATAAAATAAAAATAAAAAATTAAATTGAAGATACCCCAGAGATTAGTTTGCGTGATACGCTTAGCAGCAAGAAGCTCATGCTCTTGTCTGTGGTTTCATCCATAAATATATCCGAGCTGCGATTCCACTCCCCTCGTGACTCACGTGCCGCCCTCACATCGCCAAATTGATTTCTTGCGCGCATTTAATTAGCATGCAAAGCCCGGGCGACGGATCATTAATTAGTCGCCGCTTTGGACCCGCCTAATCAGCTCGATCGGCCGGCGGCCGCAGAATGTTGCAACCTGGCCAATCAAGGGCAAATCCGCGGCACAGAACTCGAGAACTTGCCCCAGGCCGTCTCCCCGTCGAAGTCGTGCTCTAGAATCGGCAAATAACAAAACAAGAATAACAAGAACAAAACACAAAAACTTTGACTTCAAGCGCGGTCAAAATATTTTTGTCCCAATTTTAATGACCATAAAAAACCGATCACAGAAGGGAAAAAACTTTTGTGCAATTGTCAGCAATAAATAAAAATTTCGCATGTCCTCGTTGGTTCGCAGCTTGGTTTGGTTCGCGGTCTTGGGTTTTTATGTTGCTTGTTGCCTTGTGGCACATAGTTTAGTGGCGAATCAGCTAACTATAACCAGAGCCAGAGCAGCGAAGCGATCTGCTGATCAATGCGAGTTCTATTTCCAAGTTTATTTTGCCTAATTCTTTCTGCCATGGGACTTTGGGCGATTGTTGTCGTTTCTCGTAAAAATGCCTAAATTATGAGTTTGAAAAATAAAGGGATCAGCTTTAAGATTTCTCGAAGCTCGAGAAGTGTGTCAAACGCAGTGAAAATAAACACTGATTCGGCGGGAAACGTACAGCAGACTATACAGCTAATAATCGTATAATAAACCTCGAAGATTTTATAGTAGATTAGCGCGTCTCATATAGTCCTTGCTACTTACATTTAATAGTATATATGGCTTACATAAGTTGTTCAAATATGCATTAATCGAAGTCCCCTTTAGGCTTACACCCTCAATTAAAAAAAACACAATAAACACGCCTTGGCATATCAATTTACCATATCCCATATGGTGTTTGTAATTTAACCATTAAAATTCCCAATTAAATTCGAACGTTTACCGATTGTTGACCCAATTCTAATGGCAAATCAATTCGCTGCATGGTCTCAAGTATCTCTTCGACCGCATTTTGTGGCATTTGGGCCGCTTTGTCTCTGTCGGAGTCTCGGTATCCGTCGACTGCGATCCACTCTAATGACACAATCAGCTCACACGATACAACACGCACACTCAGAGCCACCGAGATACTACTTACTTACCTCCTCCGCCGCCTGGCACTAACAAAATGCTGTAAAAAGCAATTAATAAAAAAATAAAGCAATCAAAATATAGAAATAGCACAAAAAATGGAAAAGTGCATAAAATTTATGTGCATGCAGTCAAATGAGTAATCGACTGCGACGGAGAGACAAGCGGCAACAAAGCCGCAACATTTATTGAAAATTAAGCAAAAAATAAAGAAAAAAGCTCACAAGCTCAAAGGCAGCAAATAATAAGCGCGAAATAATCAGCACACACACTCGCACGGCGATTGAGGAAAATAGTGTGTACATGAGAAATAAATTGTCTATTGGCAGCGCCAAACAAGAAAATCCAGGTGCAATAAAAATCGAATTAGAGGCCAGAGGAAAAAATAAAGTTATAAGTACAATCTATTGAAAATTAATGTGCTTAAAGGAAATCAATGAAACTAGTTGACACACTTTCTTGCCTGTTTCGAAGGCAAAACAAAAGAAGAATAAAAGAAAAACTTGTTATATTTTATTATAATTTGCTAGATAAAGCAAGCCGTTTCATTTAATAAAATTGAACTATAAATCTTTACAATTACTAACTACCATTAAATACATAACCAGCTAAAACGTATTTAAGGGAGAAAAAACAATATTTGTATTATTGATTTATTTTTGGTAATTTCAAGAAGGATAAATTATTCACAAATTTATTATTCTAAGAAAACTTTCTAACATATTTATGACAGGGTTTTACAAGATCAATATCTCTGTTCAATATCAAAGTATGCAGGAACTCACACTTATTATACCCTTGGAGAGGGTATTATAATTTTGGTCAAAAGTGTGCAACGCAGTGAAGGAGACATCTCCGACCCTATAAAGTATATATATTCTTGATCAGGATCACCTCCTGAGTTGATATAGCCATGTCCGTCTGTCCGTCTGTCCGTCTGTCCGTCTGTCCGTCTGTCCGTCTGTCTGTCCGTCTGTCTGTCCGTCTGTCTGTCCGTCTGTCTGTTTCTAAGAAAACTAGTCTCTCAGTTTTAAAGATATCGAATTGAAACTTTGCACACTGCTTACATTTCCTTTGCACGCAGTAAATAAGTCGGAACGGCCGGGATCGGCCAGACTATATCCTACAAGCTGCCATATAACTGAACGATCGGAAATTCCATACTTTTGGTGTTTGTAAAGTTAGGAAGTTGGGATTTTCTATGGGTTTTGTATTTGGCTAATCAATCCGACATGCCGAATTTCATAAGGATCGGCCGACTATATCCTATAGCTTCCATATAACTGATTGATCGGCAATGCCATAACTTTGGTGTTTGTAAAGTTAGAATGTTGGGATTTTCTATGGGTTTTATATTTGGCTAATCAATCCGACATGCCGAATTTCATAAGGATCGGCCGACTATATCCTATAGCTGCCATATAACTGATTGAATAGGAAATGCCATAACTTGTTGTGTTTGTAAAGTTAGAAGTCGGCATTTGCTATGGGTGATATATTTGGCCAGCCAATCCGACCTAATAAAATTTACATAAGGATCGGCCGATTATAATGCTATAGCTGACATATAACTGAACGATTGGAAATGTCATAACTTTGGTGTTTTTAAAGTTAGGGAGTTGGGATTTTTAATGAAGTATTAAAAATGCATCATATGAATAATTTTGGAGAATATAATTTTACAGAGTATTCTGCAAGATCAATATCTCTGTTCAATATCAAAGTATGCAGGAACTCACACTTATTTTTATCCTCGCTTCGATGGAAAATCAAAGAAAATACCCGAAAAATACTCTAAATGAAACGGACTTGTCTGAAGATATATTACAGCTAATTACGAGGCCTGATCTGAGCGGACCCATTGGGTACGCAGCTGTACCAAGTTTTCCTTTTAGTTTTTTGGGGCCAAGGCGGCAGCTCTTGAAAGCCGGCCAGCCAACCCGCTGGGTGACTCATGGGCGTCTAATGAGCTGCCGTCCGCCGTCCGTTGTCCGCCGGCCAAGCCTTTGGCCTTTGGTCGCCAGCTGGTGAAAGTCGAGCACGGATGTGGCTCTAATGCGAGCTCTACTAATTATAAGCTGATCACAAATTGCACTCCTTCTGGCCGAGAGTAGCACGTTGCGCATGCGCAATGAACCGCGCGTTCTACGAGCATGTTACGTGCGTGCCAAGCGGATTTGATTTGCCTGCTCGCTCCCGTGGGTGTTTTCCTCCTCCTCTGGCTGCAGTGTCATCGTGATGATGATGATGATGACGACGAGGAGGTTGCCGGCCAACCGGTTTCTGCATTTTGCTTAAATGTTGCAAATACTCGAGCGGGATTATCCGGGGCTGGGGAGGCGAAACCTGGCCTGGTTCTTGCTCCAATGTTCTTGGCCCTGGTTATCGTACGCCCAGCTGTGTTGCATGTAAATCGTTTGTAATTAGTTGAAAGTCTTGACGCGTAAATGCAACACTGCGAAGGAAGGCAGGGAGCAAAATATTAAAGAGGAGCAGGCAATAATTGCTTATTAAATGAATGTTCTGTGCAAAAATGTTTATGACTAACCACGTGAGCGCTAAATTGACTGCAAATGAGCCAAAGATGATGGGCCATTGTCGGCACCAAAAATGGGTAGGGACGAGGGTAATTTAAACGGTGGATGCATTGATAAATGGCCGTGTCTTTAAGCGGTTAAGTTTTAGATTCGTGGCATAAAAAACTTTTCACACATTATACCCCTCGTTGGAGGTGCCCCATAAAGTAAAGGTCTCCCTGCTGCCGCCCTGCACTCCCGAATTCTTTTGCCAAGAAAAGACAAGACAAGACCCAAATTCCTTTGCAGACATTTTTTGTTCGTCCGTCTTTCGTTGATATTAATTCAAAATTAATTGCAAATAAATTACCAAGCAATTTGTGTGTCGAGCTGGTTGTTTGCGGCTTTCGTCTGCGCCAGCTGCATGCAACATTGAAATTGTCAGAGAGTTTAAGTATAAATTAATTATATTGCCTGTAAGTTCAACTTATGCACGTCCACGTAATGCCAATAATCATCAAGCGACTTCGGGCCAATGTAATAAGTATCTGGCAAGTTGATTTTGACGTTGTCTGGC